ATCATCTATCTATGCCTGTTTTTTCTTGAACAATTAGAGACAGTATATCTCTTCACCCCTAACTATGTCAGTAGGAGTTTCCCAAGGACACAGCCTTTCTCATACATAATCACCAGTGCAGTTATACCCCCCTCACCCTCTCAGGCTAAAATCACCACGGCACATTCTCATACCGTGGGCAGAAAGGAGGCAGCTGACACCAGGCATCACACCGAGGCACTTTACATACATGTGGCACTCCTGTCCTCGGAACAGGCGTGTGGAATCAATTTTTATTTTCCCTGTTTTATAGACAGGCCAGCTCAGGCTCAGAGAAATTCAGTCACTTGACCAAGGTGGGTCCCTGGGGAGCAGATTCAGAACCAGGTCTATCTGACACTCCCATGGCCCTGGCACTGGTGTCTGCAGACAGTGAGGCACACACTTGATGTGTGTCTGCCCTTGAAGAGGGTCACTCAGGGAATGGCAGAGCTCATTAGCGAGGTGCTCACTGCTTGGGGCTCATCTTCAGCCCTATAAAGATGAGGCCACCACCGACACAGACAGGCATATCTGAAAGACGGACATGCTTGTGACTGTATTTATGCTGACACAGACGCTCACACAGGAAGGGAGGACACAGGCTTTCTGTATATGCCCAGAAAGTTGGGGAAAGTTATCATTATCCTGGATCTTAGGGGTTAGCTTGGCAAGGCTTCTGGGAGAAGTGGGACTTTAGAACTTAGAGCCACATAAGCATGGATATTTCACATCTGGAAAGGACTTCAGACGTATAGGCCACCTCCCTCATTCCAGACCCTGGGACACTAAGGCCTAGAATGGAAAACTGGTTTGCCCTGTCACGTACCTAATCAGTGAGTCCAGGCCCCCTGTCTTCCGGAATTAGGTTCGTTCCACTACATCAGGAAGTCTGAGCTTTTTCCCAGCCAAAAGCCCTTTTAATGATTTACTCCCATCTCAGGCAGCCACTATCCTGCATTCCATGTTTGGAAAAGTACTGGATCTGCCAAAGTACTTATATTAGTGAGTAATTAACTAGCCACACATTTTTATTCATCAGAAACACAGACACGACAGTCAGATTGTCTAATCAACCTAAGATCTAACTAGACTGCCGTACGGATTGAGTCAAGAAACTCTATGACCTCAGCTCGGGTTTTTAAAATGTCAAAGATAATGACCATCCCTTCAGAGATTATTATATAGAGATGCCTAAGGACGTGCCAGAGAGCCTGGGCTGGGAATTCATGTGCAGCATGATGCTGCTCAAGGGTACTCGGGGTTGTCTGTGCCCCAGTGAACAAATTTTACTCTCGATGGACCACCTAAAGTCCACTCTTCCTTCCTCACCTTCCCATCTCCCTCCCTCCCTGATGTTCTCATTCATCATTCAGATTTGCCAGAACCCCTACAGCAATAATAGCTATGTCTATATAAAGTGTTTAAGAATATATATATATATATATATATATTGAATATATATATATATATACATACATACATATATATATATGTGTGTGTGTGTGTGTGTGTGTGTGTGTGTGTGTTACAAATAAAATATGATTTTGAACCTATTCGGGTTTACCAAAGAGATATATTAGCTTGATGGCAGAAAAGAATGCAGCCTGGACTGTCCTAAACAGAATATTTGCAAAAACATATGCATGCACACGTTGGAGATTTTGTGGGTTCCGTGCCAGTCCAATGCAATAAAGCAAATTGTAATAAAGCGAGTCACACTAACACTGTTGTTCCAGTGCCTATGTTTACTCTATGCTGTAATCTATAAAGTGTGCAACAGCATTTTGTTGGGAAAAAAACCACAACAATGTACATGCTTTAATCTAAAAAGGCTTTATTGCTAGAAAATGCCAGCAGTGATTATTTGAGCCTTCAGAGAGTCGTATCTTTTTGTGGGTGGAGCGTCTTGCCTACAATGTGTGTAAAAAAACTCAGCGTTACGGCGTGCAATAAAGCGAGGTATGTCTGTAACACATACAACATTGTTTTATAATTGGATGGGGTTTGTCACATGCAAAGAAGCCAGTCACAATGCAAAGCAAACCCTTAACACAGAGATTCTCAAGCTTTTCACATCTCGGAGATTTCTATTTCATGGCTGGCTCAGAAAATGGTAAACCAAAGAAGCTGCTCGTGGTCACTGGAGGACCTTGGCCTCCAACTGAGGGGTCAGTATCTTGGCCTACCGAGATCCCACCTGCAGTTTGCCAGTTGGGAAGCTCCACATGAACATAACTAAGTGGAGGAATATTAAAGATCTCAGGATTGCCTTAAAGGACAACACAAGACTCGGTAAAATCTAACTTCTGTTTTTGACTGAGAATCTTAGGAGGAGAAAAGTGCCCAGGAATGCATTTCAAAACTTCAGTGCAAACCTTAATTGAGGCCCATTCATTGCAGGGCCCTCTAACGAGGTCTGCAGCATGAATTCATCTCGGTCTTGCGCGACTGGCAGCTGCGAGGGTGTTTATTCTTCCGAGGCCTGGTCCACCGCCCGCAGCAGCTTTTGTGGCACTCACACGCCAATGAAAGCCTCTCCAGTTGCCTTTCCAGCCTGGAGGAGACAATGAGAGAGGCGCTGGCCCTTGTGCCGGTCACTAGGCAACTGGAGAGGGGATCGGCCCTGAACCGCCCTGCGTGTCTGCTCTGCTGTCCAAGCACACGTTAGCCCAGGCCAAGCACACAAAGTCACATGTGGCCGGAACGTGCCCAGCTGGGAGGCAGTGGGTCAGAGTGCCCAGCCTCAGCCCTCCTGATGATAAACTCAGAGGGCCAGCCACTTTGTCTCAACTGGGTCTGTGTCTTTATGTGCACCACCGACCCTGACGAGAGGCTCAGATTCTGCCTCTTGCGTGCCCTGCTCCTGTCATCCTTGGGGTCCCACCTGGGTCCCACATAGAGTCCTGTTCTCGAGGGGAAAGTGTTTGATCGCAAATGGGGAGATCTGAAAGGGGTACTTGGGGTTCTCCATCTCAGGGCTGAACCATAAAAGGAACTTCTTACAGACTCTAATTGTCCTCAGCCCAAATGGGAGAAGGGAGGGCTTTTCATGGTCGAATTACCCAGGTATTAGCCCTGTTAGCCCTACAACTTCCCCACTGTTGCCTTAACAAGCCAGCCCCCTCATTCATGTAATTAGATGCTGAAGTTCACTTTATCGTAGAAAATGGTGATTATGCAAATGCAGGCTATGCTGTTAAAGTGTGTTTGGGGTTTGGAAAATTGCATCCTTCTCATCCATGTTGGGTTGGCTTCACTAATTCTCAAACCTTCTGGAGACTCAGACTGATTAAGGTTTGCACAGACATACTTCCTTCCTCTGGAGCTTTGATTAGGCCTTGGTTTTGGCTTCCAAACTGTGTTCCTGAGAGGTGCCTTGGGACTGCTGGCTAGAGTGAAGCAGCAGGGTGCAGAGCAGCGACTCTTATGTGTCCTGTATGTTAGGCTGGTGAGCGAGCTTTTGTTTGAAGAAAGGATTCCAAAGGTCAACAAAGCTTTGAAAGCCAGTTCCTTAAACCGCTGTTACTGTGAACGTGTATGTCAGTGCATTGGGGTCCCACAAGTCCTGTCTATGCTCTTGTCTTCCTTATTGGAATTTTAAAAAATTATAAGTGAGGCAATAGGAGGTATATAAGGAAAAGGTTAAACATCGCTTCCCTTCCTCCCTTCCCATTCTGCTCAGTGTTGATAAGTATCTTCCCATAATGCCTTTCACTTCCGTGCTGATATCCTTTAATAGCTTTTCCTTTGGGGAAATTTTTAAACAGAACAGTCAAGGCTAGTATAAGTAGCTCGGTAACCCCATCCTCCAATGCCAATAATTATCAAAATTTTATAACATTTGCATCATCTGTCTCTTTCTCATATATTTTTAAATTTTTATTTTTTAAATTCGTTTTTATTGATTTTTAGAGAAAGAGGAAGGGAGAGGGAGAGAGAGAGAAACATTGATGAGAGAGAAGCATTAGTATCAACAAACTGCCTCCTGCACACCCCCTGCTAGGGATTTGCCTGCAACCCTGGTATGTGACCTGTTGGTGCATGGGTCAGTGCTCAACTACTGAGCAACACTGGCTGGGCTCTTTCTCATGCATTTTTTATTTATCTTGTTTTGTTTTACAAAAATAGCATGCTAATCAGCAACCTGTCTTTTTTTTTTTTAATATATTTTATTGATTTTTTTTTTTTTTTTTTTTTTTTACAGAGAGGAAGGGAGAGGGATAGAGAGTTAGAAACATCAATGAGAGAGAAACATCAATCAGCTGCCTCCTGCACACTCCCTCCTGCGAATGTGCCCACAACTAAGGTACATGCCCCCGACCAGAATTGAACCCGGGACCCTTGAGTCCGCAGGCCGACACTCTATCCACTGAGCCAAACCGGTCCCGGCAGCAACCTGTCTTTTTACTTAATTTATCTTAAACATTATTTCTTGTCAGTTCATCTACCTCCTCCTTTTAATGGCTATGTAGTTTCCCGTTGTTTGTTTGAACCAACATTATCTCAATCCATTGTCACCTATTTTAGACATCCAGGCTGTATCAATTTTTTTTTTTTGTGATCTTATAAATTACTGTGACTAATATCCATGTACATAAGTGTTTACATACTGACGCATTTATGGATTTCCAAAAGTGGGATGGCAAGATCAGGGCTATGTATGTGTTAAGTCTTATTAACTATTGCTCAAGTGTAGTCTCGAAAGATTGTGGATAACCTCCCACCAGCAACCTTGGCCCATTTCCTCAAAGCCCTGGTTATGATTGTTCATTAAAAATGCTGTGAATCTTTTGTGTAAAGAGATGGCATGAAATCCATGTCTTACATGTGTGTGTGAATGAATTCTTTTCTGCATTAATTTTGTAAATTGTAGTTTTGCAATCGTTATTTGGGGGAAGAGAGCCATTAGGAACGACTGGAATAGAGGCCAAGAGGGAAATGTCTTTTGCAGACCTGCCACTGCTCTTTGTTTCTATTAGTTTGTACAGCGGAAAACGGGTGCTGGCCGCGTGGTGCATATCTGCAATCTTCCCGAGGGAAGCTGCACTGAGAATGACGTCATTAACTTGGGGCTGCCCTTTGGGAAGGTCACCAATTACATCCTCATGAAGTCTACTAATCAGGTAGGTCTCGGCACTTTCACACTGGTATGTACCAGACAGATCACAAATTGGTGGTCTATTCAGTACTCCATATATATTATATATTATTGTTTTTTTTAAAGAAGCTGTCCTTAGCATAAAGAGGTATTGCACAGCTGGACTCCCTTTGGTCTCAGCCAACAAACAGAGGTGACATTCTGTTTTCTCTTACCCTTCTTGTGATGGTTACGGGCCTTTGTAAGTTGCCGAGAAGTGAGAAGGTGCTTTAGAATGAGGTGCTCAATAGCATAGAAAAGCTAACTGGCCCCCCAAATAGAAATCCAACCCGCTGAGCTCATGCTGATCTTGCCTTCTAAGCTTCTCATAGCTGAGGGCCTGGGTTTTGAGCCAGCCAGCAACTGACTTGGGAGCAAGAATTTTCACGGATCCTTGGTGTTACCCTCTGAGGCCCAATAGGTGAGAATTGATGGATGCCTGGAAAGTCTAGGAACTAAGGGAATAGACTGAGTCCTTGGGAGTCCGCATTTGTCTTCATTTCTAACGTCAGAGGGAGAGTTTTACAGAGAATGCTCAGAAATAGGAATTTTTGTTGTTAATAAATATTTTTGTGTTGTAAATCAGAGGATTAGGCATAAAAGAAATTCTTAATTAAAGCATGAACCTTGGAGACTCAAAGCCATATCAGATCCCCAATGGTCTTCCTCCATCAGCCTGGGCTTAGATAGCTCACCTTGTCTCTCTGTTCCTACTTCTCACAATTCTATTTTGGGTAAATATCCAAAATTCAGCTTGTAACAGCAGTGCAATGAAAGTCATTGAATTAATATTATTCACATTTGACAGGTGAGAGCTAGAGATGCTAAAATGTTTGCGTGAACAAAGAGGCAATTGGAAAGCTGGGTGGCAGAATTTGAATAAAACTCTAAGTAATCTTGACTCCTACTCTCTCATACTCTGCCAAAGACTGTGACAGCATGGAGGAAAGCATATCTCAATTAAACAACAAATGTGAGGGAAGGAGGAGGATGACTTTGTTCAAAACAGTGGGAGAGTTGGCATTCACAGTTAGGGCCCCCTTCTCACAGACCACTTCCTCCTCAAGACTGAGGGACGAGATCGGTACAAACCAAACAAATCTAAGAGATAATAATGATAATGAATTCCCCACAATAGCTACTGGGATAAACAGACAGGTCAGTCAAAACAGGCTACTTAGAAAGTCTTTATAGACACCAACTGAACAGAAAAGACCATTTCTTTGGTGTGTGTGTATGTGTGTGTGTGTGTGATCACAACAGTTAAATAAAGAGGAAAGCTGCCATGGAAACAACAGGGTTTTCCTCTCTCTTTAACTCACAAAGACATGACCTTCTTTTAAGCCTAGAGAGCCCCTGAATTTTTTAAAATATATTTCTCTTTTCACAAAGAAAGTGAGAGCTCAATACTCAGGGCCTATGCCTCTGTCTTCTGCCATTGCCACCGTTAATGGACAACTTTTGCAAGGATTGGCCTGAGTCCATTATGCAGTAAATTCACTCTCTCCCGTGTCACCCCTTCCCCTGGGAAGCTATTGGTAATGGACCCTCCCATTGCAGAGGGACTCCTATGGCATGACGTAGCCCAGGATGGACATACATAATTAAGAAGAATGTTTGGTAACCATGGGGATCCGAAGAGGGGTCATCTTATAATGAGCTCTTTTGGGGAAGTTAATAAATAGGTCTCTTTGAGCAGATGGGATCAAAGAGAGCTCTTCCTTTGCTGTTTTATTTTTTATTTTTATTGAGGTACAAAATACATGCTCTAAAGTGCACTAGTCTAAGGGTAAAACGCCATTAATTTTTTTACATGTGTACACCCATGTAATTACCACCCGGGTCAAAACATGGAACATTTCCAGAACCTCAGGTTTCCTCATGCTCCCTTTCCCAGTCAATTACCCCACCCCACCCCAGGCAGACCTTGAACTTCTAATACCATTGATTCGTTTAGTCTGTTTTTATTTAGTTATTCATTTTTATTTCAGAGAGGAAAGGAAAGGAAAGATAGATACATCAATGATGAGAGAGAATCACTGATTGGCTGCCATCTGCAAGCACCCTATTGGGGACTGAGCCTGCAACCTGGGCATGTGCCCTGGCCGGAATAAAACCATGACCTCCTGATTCATAGATCTCTGCTCAACCACTGAGCCATGCTAGCCAGGCCGTTTTGCCTATTCTTGAGCTCCATATACTTGGAATCAAACCTTGTACTAAATGTAGCTTGAGACCATTCATGCCAAGTCCAATGTATGCCCTGCCATTCTTTCCTAGGCCTTTTTAGAGATGGCATACACAGAAGCTGCTCAAGCCATGGTCCAGTATTACCAAGAAAAGTCTGCTATGATCAATGGGGAGAAGTTGCTCATTCGGATGTCTAAGAGATACAAGGAATTGCAGCTGAAGGTAAAGCATTCTTTTCTTCATTCATTCAACCAACAAACATCAACTGAGTGTCTCCTCCTTGCCAGGCATGGTCCTAAGGAGAAGACAGGAAAGATGCAAAACTTACCCACTGTCTTTGAGGATGTCACACGGGAAGGCAAAGCATTATAACATGACAAGAAACATGCTTATGGATATAAGTACAGAATGCAAAGGGTTTCTTGAGACAAGATGACTAACTACCTGGGACCCACAGGGGATTTGTAGGGGAGGTCTTGGAGGAGGTAGAAGTTCCAGGCATAAACCTTGAAGGTAACCTCCTTCTCCATCCATACAGGTCTTCAGTAATTTTCTTCCTCTGTCACCCTCCTTGATCTCTTATTCTCTCCTCCATTCTCTGTAGTTATGTCTTCAGCCTCAAATAAATCCTTCTGAGCCGCACATGACTGAATTGGCCACTGTCAGAACTCAGGGATGAATTCAGATTAATTCCAAACAGGGCTTCTTTGTTTTTTTTGTTTTAGCTTATCCTACATTTGTCTTTTCTTTCTTGTTTTATTTTATTGTGAAATGCAACATACATAAAGAAAAGTGACTAATTAAGCATTACACAGTTTTAAATGCACTAATGGGTGAAATCCCCTAAGTCCCATAAAAGTCAAGGAATAGGACATTGATGGCACCCAGAGGCCCCTCATGCTCAACACTCCCCTCTCCACTCCTATGACTTTAAGGATCATTTCCTTCCTTTACCTTACAGTCCTGGTACCCAAGCAATGTGCCTTCCTTAGCAAGTACCGTTTAGTTATGCCTATTTTTGAACTTTATATGAATGGATTCATACAGTCTGTGTTCTTTTATGTCTTGCTTCTTTCACTCAACATTATGCCATTCATGTTGGGTGTGTTTATTTTCATTGTTGTATAAATTTCTATTGTATGACTACAGGTACATTTATCCATTCCGCTGTTGATGGACATTTTGGATTGTTCCCAGTTTTAGGGTATTAGAGACAATGAATACTACTGTGCACATTCCCAAACATATTATCATGTAAACACATACACCAATGTAAAGCTAGGGGTGTGTACATAACTAGGAGTGGACTTGCTGAATCACAGGCATGCATAGCCTCAAATTTTCTAGGTAAAAGCAAGCTCTTTTAAAAATTAGTTGTTCCAAATTTATACTCCTAGTAGTAGTGTCTGAGAATCTACATTATTTTTTAAAAATATTTTTTATTGATTTTTTAATTGATTTCAGAGAGGGAGATAGAAATATCAATGATGAGAGAGAATCATCCGCTGCCTCCTGCACAACCCCCACTGGGGATCAAGCCTGCAACCTGGGCATGTGCCTGGACTGGGAATCCAACTGGTGACCTCTTAGTTCCTGGGTTGATGCTCAACCAGTGAGCCATACCCGGCTGGGCAATGGTCCACATTCTTGCTAACATTTTATCTTATCTGAGTTTTTAATTTTTGCCTGTCTGAGGAAGAGTGTAATGGTTTGTCATGGTTTTATTTTTTATTTTTTTGATTATCAATTGATATTGATCACTTTTTTTCAATATGCTTATCGCTATGCCATTTGGATCTGCTCTAGTGGAAAGTTTCTTTTCAAGGCTTTTGCCCATGCTTTTCTCTTAGATGTGTCCTCTTAATGGTCTGCAGGATTTCATTAAACTAGAGCACTTTGTCCATTTGAATTTATTGTAATGAATGCTTCCTTTGCATTTAAATCTACCTTCTTAGTTGGTGCTCTCTGCGGTTCCATGTAATACAGATTTTCTTGTCACTTCAGCTCATTCCACATCTACTTGGGGTCCAATTTGTTTAGGGCCCTCAGCCTTCAATCTGCTTTCATGGTTAAAGTCAGAGACAACGGCCGAATGGCTGTTTCTGGCCAGGACTCGCTTTCTGACAAGTCCGTATATGTAGGTCGGGTATATGTCAACCAGCCGACAAAGCCCTGATTCTGCTTTGCTTGCAGTCTTGCTTCTGAAGTTCCTTTGCCAACAGTTCTGTCAGAACCTGGCTTTTTTTTTTTTTTCTTTTTCTTTTTTTCTTTCCCTTCTGATTAATGAAAGCACATGGCTTTTCTCAGACAAGTGAAAAGGTGTTTTCCCCAGTGGCTCCCACAGATGTCCCGAGAGGCACTCTCATCACCCTACCTCATTCTCCACCCAGCCAGAGTTCCCATTCTCCCCAGAGGCCTAAAGTTGAATTTCCATACTGGATTCCCAGTGGAGCTTTGGTCTCCAGATGAACTGTTCTATTAAGTTGTAATTAAGATTGATAGCAGTACTCAACTTCTTAAAGCAAGGTACTGAGGCACCCCAGTACCTTACCAAGGGAGATAGTTTGGGGTGGTGCCGAAACCAGGGGTTAAAGAGGTCATGTGGTCCACTTACATTCAGCAAATGTGGAACCCACTGTGCGCAGGAAGTGGGCCTCTCCATGGTTGCAAGCTTGTGGAGGCGCTCACTGTCTGGTGGGAGGAAGAGCAGGTAAACACAGAGCCACCCACAGCCATGTGAGCTATGCCAGATTGAAGGGTGGTGGTGCCAACCTAGGCTCTGCCCCTTCCTGCTTTGATGAACTTGGACAAGTTGCTTCACCTCTGTAAGCCTCAGTTTCCAGATCAGTAAAGACTATATATTCTGAGTTCCTTAGTTAGAAACATTCCCCCCCCCCCCCCCCATACATTGTCTCTCTGAGCCTCACAATCCCTCTCTCCTGTGAGGTGTGCAGGGTGGATAATAACCGTCATTATAACTGTCCAGCAATAATAAGTGTACATACCTTTGATTGAATCCTGGTGCTCAAGCAATGTGCTGAGCACTTTATGTAAATGCATTATCTCCTGTAATTTTGACGTCAGCTTGGTCAAACCGGTATTATTACCTCAGTTTTACAGATGAGGAAACTGAAGCTCATAGAGTTTGGCAGCTTGCCAAGACCATAGTTACCAGAAGAACCATCATTAAAGCCTAGGACAGTTCTGGGTTTGCACTATAGCTGCATCTCTGTATTGGGTTCTTGAGAACTTCATAGTCCACGTGAAAAATCAGAGAGAAATCAGGTGATTTTGTTATAGTCACCCGGGCAGGAAGCCGCAGGGGTGGCGTTCTAACAGCTTCTCAAACTGCCACGCGGAGTTTGTTAAAATTTCTGTTCAGAAGTTCAGGGGCAAGGCTGTGATCCTGCATTTCGAACAAGCTCCCAGGAGATGCCAGCGCAGCGGGACCTCAGCACTCTGAGCAGCAACGGGCTAGGACACGCTGCTGTCTGACCTTTCATTGGGGCTTCCTGCTCCCCACGCTGTCACACTGCCTCTGTGAGAAAGCAGCTCACAGCATGTTTCAACTCCACAGCAATGCATGCATGATGGCCCCTGAGATGACATCAGCGAGGACCTTTTTATGTAAGGAACGGAAAATTGTCTCAGTTTAACATACTGACTAAAGTTTTCAAAAGGTGGGGGCTGGATTTATTGGCTCGTGTAAATGAGAAGTCCAGGAGTAACCCTGGCTGCAGGTATGGCTGGAATCAGGGCCGAGTGATGGCATTAAGACTTGGCTTCTCTCCTTGCTGTGTCCTGCTCACTTGGCTTTTTTTGAGGGGGTCTCCCTGGGATGCCCCTGGCAGCCCCAGGCTCTCTCCTCTAGGTGGCGTGATGGTGTCATTGACTTCAGCAGCTCTGGCTTCTCGCCCTCCCATTTCCTTCAACAAGAGCGAGCCAGGGTTTTCCCCAGTGGCTCCCACAGATGTCCCGAGAGGCACTCTCATCACCCTTAGGACACGTGTCTGTTCTGGAACCAGTGTGTGTGGTCAGGGGATGGCTGTGCTGGGATTGGTGAAGTCTCTGTCACCTGCTGCATCTTTAGAGCAGGGGTAGAGAGAGGGGAATGGCTCCTGGGGAAATAGACAGCAAAGCACTATATCCATGCATATATCCAAACATGTCAGGGCCGGAGAAGCTACCCCATGGGGAACCACCAGGGCTTGCAGAGGTGGAGGGAAGTTTTGATTGGTTTATCTCCCCTAATCTTAGCTTTTGCTCACCAGGCAAAGTGGAAGGGGAGAAAGAAGAGAGCTGAAAGTACTTGCCATCTTATGTCTTGAATATTTCTTCATGCCATAATCTTATCTCCCTACCTGCTCTTTGTGGGGAAGGTTCTAGTCCTTAGGGCATTTGGGGCAGAACCTGTCCCCTAACAGGTGTCCAACAAGGGCATGGAATAAATGAGAAAGAGAAAACCTTTAGGAACACACAGAAAGTATTTTTCTTCTTACAGACCAGACAGGAAAACGGAATTGTTTTCTGGTTTGTTCTATAGAGACTTCTCCAGGATCACGGCATCTTACATGCAGAAGGGAACTTGGAGTAATTTAATCCAGTGTCTTCCAGTGACTGATCAGAAAGCTGCCAGGGCAGTTTGAAGGTCCTCTTGCCCAGGGATCCCTCCCTGGCTCAAACATTTCGTATCCCTTTCCTGTGTTCCAGCCCTGACCTCTCTTCCTGAAGCCACAGGCACCTCCTCCTTCATTCTCTCCTGGACTTGTGTTTCCCTAACCCAACCCTCAGTCTCAACACTAACACAGATAAGCTGGAGGACTCAGAATTCTATCCCCTCTGGATCACGTACTCACTGCATATCTCTGGCCCTGGTTTTCCCAGCTGTAAAATGAGATATATGATCATACCTAACATTCACGTAGCTATTTCACAATTCTTTGTAAAACATATAGAAAAACATCAAAGATTAAAAACAGCCATTGATTACATTTCTTAATAAAACTCTTTGTCAAAAGTTGACATTACAGACCAAGCATTTTTAGATTTATTGAGATATAATCATATACCATAAAATTCACCCTGCTCCATACATTTTAATGGAATGGATGGATTCTGTGTAGCCTGTTGAAAGGTGTGCTTGCGTTTCTTTTATGTACATCAATTTCTTTTTTAAATTGCTTATTTCTTTTTTATATATAAATATTTTTATTGACTTCAGAGAGGGAGGGAGAGAGAGAGAGAGAAACATCAATGATGAGAGAGAATCATTGATTGGCTGTTTCTTGTATGCCCCACCCTGGAGATAGAGCCCACAACCTGGGCATGTGCCCTTGACCAGAATTGAACCTGGGACCCTATAGTCCACAGACTGACTTTCTATCCACTGAGCCAAACAGGCTGGGGCTAATGGTTTATTTCTTGTTATTTTGGTATTGTTTTCTGTTCTGGGTTTAGGAAAGGGTGTGGTTAGGATTTGGGGGCTGGGGTTGGTCCTGTCCTGGCACAGCCACCAAAAAGTGAATTCTGGAATGGGTGGGGCCTTTGAGGGCCTGGCATCCTCAGCTGTGAATCCTGGCTCCCAGCCTGCGCTGCCCATTCGCGATTTAGGTTGAGCCCCACATAGTGGAGGAACACGCTGGAGTAAGGTATTGCCTGGGTCATAGAAAGGATCTTGGAGTTGAAATGCCTATTGTCAATCCTGATTCTCTAACCATCTGTGACCTTGAACGTGTTCCTTGACCCAGCACAACTACAGGACTCACCATTTACCTGGGTCATGGTGTGGCTGGTCACCTGGGAGCTGTGCAAGGAGAGCTCTGACTCTATCCCTCTGGGTCTCAGCTTCCACTTGTGTCAAATGTGGACGCTGCATTCAATGATCTTCAAGTCTCTTTACAAGTTACAATGCCTGCCTGCCCCCTTCCCTCCACACCTTCCTTCCTCTCTCCCTCTCTTCCTCCTTCTTTCCCTTACTTTCCTTTACGTCTCAGATATTTTCCTTTATTCAGGAAGGGATGGGAGGCAAATGTGATGAACTGAGACTTTTTCTCAGCACATGAATGTGCTCCTTCTTCTCCCAGCTCAGTGGATGCCATGTTCCCTTGACCACTCAGCCCACTAATTATGCTCCTACTCCTCATCCCCTCGGTTATTAAACCTTTTTCTTCCCTAAAAGGCACTTTTCCCCATTGGTGGACTGGACCATGAACCCAAGTCCTACCTGCGTCCCTGTGGTGTTTGCAAGGCTGTCTCTGGTCTGATGACCTCTCTCGCTTTGTCTAGAAACCTGGGAAAAATGTGGCTGCCATCATCCAGGACATTCATTCCCAGAGGGAGAGGGACATGTTCCGGGAAGCAGACAGGTGAGGTCCTAGGTGGCAGGGCAGATGCTGGGCAGTTGGAACGTTTTCCTGTTTCTCATTCTGAGGGTATTTGAGTCATGCCCTGCCTTTGCCCCTGCCCTGTTCATCAATCTCTCTGCACCTACCTTTTCATGTGCCCAATGGAACACAATAGTCAGAAATGCTGCTCAGGTTAAATCGCATGAAAATGCAAGATGCTAAGCTTCCTTCCAGCAGCTCCTCCTTTGTTAGAAAGGACTATAGGAGGGGATCTTTGGTACTTGGCTCTTAGGGGCAAGTCTATACTTTGCTAAAACAGCCTGAAAGTGTGTGTGTGTGTGTGTGTGTGTGTGTGTGTGTGTGCGCGCGCGTGCGTGCGTCTTCTAAACAGAGGCAGCTCTTGATTTTTGATAGCTAAATGTAGATGTAGGAGCAGGAGTAGAGATGACCCCCCCTAAAAGTAGCTACGTGACTCATCACTATGAACACTGAATGCATTCAGTTTTCCAACTTATTTCTCCCAACGGAAGTGGTGACCGCACACAGCTGTGGCTACAAGTTTGCCATTATCGCTGCCCTACAAAGGGGGTCCCTGTAGAGAGCCAAGGTGGAGAACAGCAGGAGTGGGCCCCTGGCCTGCGTGCCTTGTGGTTCTTACCCAGGGCAGCCACAGAGAGTGCTCTGACATCACTGCAAGGTGCTGAGCCCAGGCTGCTTCCCCTGAGGTCCAGGCAGCCTAGCCGGGTGCTAGGGAGCCACGTCTTCGTGTCCCTACTCAGTGAGGGCTGATGGTTTTCCTGGATTGAGGAACTACCAGGAAATTAAAATGGCCATTGCTTTCAGAATATGGGGTATGTGACTCAGTTTACCTGCTAAATAACCAAATAACCTTGAGAGAGAGAGAGAGAGAGAGAGAGAGAGAGAGAGAAGGAAAGTGTGAGTGAGTATGTGTATGTGTATGATTTTGTATGTAGCTGTTTATGTTTAGAATTTTTGTTTCTTTCTTTGTTTTTTAAACCATGGTTATCTGTGTGTTTGTTTGTTTTTTTAAAAAAAACCATGTGCAAAGCCATACTGTGCCATCTGCAGTTCTGCGGTAGGAGGGTGGGGGAGGGGTGACCCAGGAGACCTTGCTGGGAACCTTAGGCAGGTCGGGTCCTGTTCTGTTTTTCAGTTTCTTCATCTGAAAAATGACCAGCTCAGGGCTCTAAGGTCTCTGCCAACCCCAAATGCCTTCCTAGTTCTTTGCTTTTGGAATCTCTGAGCCCATCCTTTCCTCCTCGCCCCCCAGCCATTCGCTCCCTTATTCCATGCCCAGGATTGAGCAAACTGAGATGAGAAATAAGGAACACGGAGGCCTAGCGGTCCCCTTTATGCTGATAGAGGTGGAGGTGGGGAAAGGCTTCAGTCATTGAACCTGAGAGCCAGGCAGCCTTGCCCACCAAGCCGGAGCAGGCAACCTCACCCCCATCCCCACCTGCACACCCACGGGAAAGCTGAGCTCATTTCCAAGAGGGAGAGCTGAGCCAAACCAGCCTGATTATTCATCCCAGCTCCAGGAGCAGGATGGGCGAAGGGGCAGAGCTAGCTCAGGGAAAACCCTGCTGCCAGAAGCCAGAGGAGGAAGCGTCCTGATAAAGAGTGTCTGGCTGACGGGGTTATGTGCACAGACGAGTTATCTGAGCAGGATCTGGAGGGGTGCAGATTCTAAACTCCCTCCTTTGCTTCCTCACAGATACGGCCCTGAAAGGCCGAGGTCTCGCAGTCCTGTGAGCCGGTCACTGTCGCCGAGGTCCCACACGCCAAGCTTCACCTCCTGCAGCTCTTCCCACAGTCCTCTGGGCCCCTCGCGGGTCGACTGGGGCAATGGCCGGGACTCCTGGGAGCACTCCCCCTACACCAGGAGGGAGGAGGAGAGGGAGCCGGCTTCCTGGAGGGAGAATGGGGAGGACAAGAGGGACCGGACGGATGTGTGGGCACATGATCGCAAACACTACCCTAGGCAACTGGACAAAGCCGAGCTAGAGGAGCGACTGGAAGCAGGGAGGGGCCACCGAGAGAAGCACCCCAGGTCTGGGTCCCCCAACCCTCTTCACTTGGCATCAGGCTACAAGAGCCGGGAAGACGGCTACTACCGGAAAGAGCCCAAAGGCAAAGCGGACAAGTATGTGAAGCAGCAGCAGGATGCCCCCGGGCGGTCCAGGAGGAAAGACGAGGCCAGGCTGCGGGAGAGCCGGCACCCCCACCCAGATGATGCGGCCAAGGAAGATGGGCTGGAGCCCAGGGTTACCAGGCCCCCTGAGAGCACCAAGTCCAAGCCGAGTGAGAAAACCAGAACCAAGAGAGCCGACAAAGACCAAGAAGGAGCTGAGGACAGAAAGGAAAGCAGGATGGCAGAGAATGAGGTAATGATGCAATCTCCTCCCGGGGGAAGAGAGGCGGGTTCCCACAGGGAACAAAGGGACTAGCAGGATGATCAACAGTCATTGAATGAATGAAACGCTCACTGAGTGTTTACTCTGTGCCAGGCCCTGTGTGTAAGCTTTTTTCTCCATCAAGTCTTTTCATCCTCGCAGCGATCCTACGAGGCGGTAATGTTAATAATGTTATTATTACTCTAGATGAGAAACGGAGGCACAGAGAGCGTAAGTGAGTTGCCCAAGGACACACAGCCGGGAAAGGGCAGAGCTGCAGTCACACCTAGGTGACCAAATGCCACAGCACCTGCTGTCTTTCCTAGAAGTTAGGGAGGGACGGGATGCAAAGGCCTCCGTGTTCCTGTTTGCCCAGGTTGGAGCACCCCGAGGCTTTTGCGCCCACAGACTCTGCCAAGGGAGATTAGATCTCTGGTCCACTCTGTCTTCTCGCCTGCCCAAGGCATCTACCAATCCTGAGACCTCGAAGGGGGCGGTAAAGGAGAAGCAGCCACCACCCATACATTATACATGGTGTGTCTCTCTAGCCTAGGGGTGTTGAACTCAATCAGAGAAGGGGCCAAAATCTAAAATCCAGCCTAAATTGCGGGCCGAATGGTTTACTGAACAGTCATAAGCTGTCATTGTGATGGAAACGCAGTGGAGTGCAGTGATGACAGCGCGGTGCAGGCCACATTGCAAGGCCTGGCGGGATGGATTTGGCCCGCGGGCCTTGTGTTTGACACATGTGCTCTAGCCACTGTCCACTGTGTTTTGCTTCCACTGTAATAAAAACAGGCAGCAGTTGGCCGGCCTCTGTCACTGAAGCATCTGAAAGGCCCCATAACCTGCTGCGTGACTTCAGCTCACCCAGTGGGTCAGCAGGAGGACTCTGGAGGCGAGGTTTATGTGCTAACTTGGCTTACACTTCTTGCTGGAACTACCTGCGTTTCAGCGGGAGAGGGGCAGTGGGGGTTGAGGGGTGTGCACAGAGAACCCAGGTTGGACTATCCCGCACGCATATCATCTAGTCTGACCCAGGAGGGGGTGGCAATGCCAAGCCCAAATAAGGAGCCCAGTTCTCAGCTCCATGCACATTGAAGAGTCACGCTTTCGGCCAGCGTGTTAGCATGCCACTTTGCAGGTAGTGTGCTCAGTCCAGAGGTGAATAGGACACAGTCCATGTGGAGGCAGAGACCAAGGTCTGATGGTGGAAGCAGACCTACAGAAACCATTTGCAGACAGTGGAGCGGATAAGCTGCTCTGTGGGCAGTTAGCTTTGCACAGAGGCGTACCTTTGAGCTGAGCATTGAAAATGGGGAAGACAGTTCTGGAAGAAGCAAGGGCAAAAGGGAGAAAGACAGGCTGAAGAACCTGGAGATACTCCACATGACTATCTTTAGGGCATATTAAAGAATCATGTTTCTACGAAGTAAAATCTTGGCTTCGTGCAAACATAAAATGAATGCGTGTCAGAGCTGCTTAAGTCATTAATGAATGAGGAAACCAGTAAGATTTAAAAGCCAGTTCAGAGGAGAAGGTAAAGATCAGGCCACATGTGGAGGCAGTCAGGAATGTGGACATGGGTTTGCTAACAGAGGCAAGCTGACCTCTTCCACGGGGAACCTGGGACCAGATAAAATTCTTTGCATCTCTATGGATGAGAATCGCTTACATGACTCTCGATTATCTGCATTCACAGGGTTGTAAAGCAGCTCAGTTTAAGTGCAAGTCCAGACTCTCACAGAACCAGATACCCAAAGGGTGTGCTGGCAAATGGCCCAGCATTCCATGGAAGGACACCCGGTGATCTTTCTGCCCATTGCACGTTTCCACGATTTGTCCTGACTGGCCTAGTAGGGGGAATGCCAGGAAAGGAGACTAGGAAATGGGTAGAGGGGACGTGAAGGACCACGTGGGCCCCACTGAGGGCTTGAACTGGATCCTGAGGACTTATGGACAAGTGGGTGTGTTTAAGAAGAGTGTACAGGGGACTGGTTCCAGGGCCCCTGAAGATAATAAGATCCCAGGATGCTGACATCCCTTATGTAAGATAGTGAAGTACTTGCATATAACCTATACATATCCTTCCATAAGTTCTTAAATCATCTCTAGATTACTTACATAATACCTAACACAACGTAAATGCTAAGTAGATAGTTGTCATCCTGTGCACTTTAGGGATTAATGACAAGAAAAGAAAGTCTGTACGTGTTTAGTATAGATGCAACGACGCAGTATATGTCAACAACAACCTAACTTTAGTTTTGAGAATTTCTATCCGATGCGCAGATAGAGGTTCTCCAACCATATATACCTCCAACCACATATACCTGGAGATGTCCAAGGTGTTGGCGACAGGTCAGTGACTCAAGAAAAGGCACGGAGGGACCGAGAGCACAGGCTCATGCCTCCAGTCTGGCACCATCTGTCCCCACAGCAGAGGGAGGAGCTGCCCCTTCCCACTCCGACCCACATCCTGAGGCTCTTCTTTAGAGACTCCTGCTGAGTAGCCACTCCTCATGGGTCCGCACAACCCTCGCCCCCTTAAGGGGACACACATGGTGGGTCCCCCTGAGAGCCCCTGATGCAGAAAAGATTCAGAAAGCCCTGTGGGTTCCCTACAATCTGTCCCTGGAATTGGTCTGCCTCTCCGAGCCCTAGAGTGGGGTCAGTAGGGACTAGTAGGGGTTCCCCACAGACTTCTTCTGTGGGTCTGAAGCCAGGGGCGCAGCACACGGTGGTGGAATACTACCGTGTTTCCCCGAAAATAAGACATCCTCCGAAAATAAGACCTAGCACATGGGAAGATAAGACATCCCCTGAAAATAAGACCTAGCGCAACTTTGGGAGAAAAAATTAACATAAGACACTGTCTTATTTTCGGGGAAACAGGGTAGCAGAACAGAGTTTTCCTCCTCGCTGATCTCAGCTCTATGTTGTGATCTTGAGAACAACCCAGATCCCCAACCGGGCAGCCCAGGGCTCAGATTACAGACAGGAGGGACCGGACTTGGGAATGAAGGCCACAGGGCTGAAGAGGTGTCCTTGCCTTTCTTCTAATTTGCCAGGCACTTCCCACCACCAGGCGCACCCCTGCGCCCACCTGGGTCCCTCCTCACCTCTGCCTCAAGGCATTGTCACAACCCCACAGGTTTATCAGGGCCACTGCACCTGATCATACGACACTCCTCTTCTTCCCTGCTTTCCTTTCCTTGGTGGCACCCATTTCCTTCTAACCGATCCCCTAATGCCTTTATTTGTTTTATGTAGTGTCTGTGTCCCTCCCCTCCCCCCCTCCAAGTGTAATGCCCACGAGGGCAGGAGTTTTTGTCTGCCATTCTCACAGCTGTGTCCCCCGTCCCCAGGTGAGAGTGGGCGTTCAGTGCGGACCTGTGGAAGAAGTGAATGACTGGACCCAGACTCTGGAAAGCCAAGGCCTGGCTTCTGAGAACCAGGTCACACCCTGTGCTTCTCTCCCTCAATTTCCTTGGTTGTGAAATGGCCATGATCACAGGGCTGCGGCAGGCCTTTAACGAGCATGTTAACAACCCGCTGGGTCTCTGGAGAAGGGCCCGGGCTGGCAGCGCTGCTGTCTGTGCTCTCGGTGCGGAGGGTGGCCAGGTGCAGGCAGGAGAGCCACTCTGACCGCGAGGCCACAGGCAGGAGGAGAGAGAGCAAGGCCGTGGCTGGAGAGACCGTGGGAAAGAAGGGAGAGACCTGTTGGGAGGGAGTTGGGGGCTACACACCCAGATGCCCAGGGAGAGAAGCCAGGCGGGACACCAGGCCAGATGGGATGAGTGAAGCCTGGTGGAGCAATGGGACCATGGCAGACCCAGGAGGAGGCGCCTTGTGCTGGGAGCAAGCAGCCATCCACTGCTCAGCTCCATCCTGGGTCTGCCATTCTGGGGAGCATGCCCTGGGCTGTCAGATCTCTCGTTCCTTCGAGCAAGACCAGAGCCCAGCTATCTGTTGAAATTTCCCACGTGTAAGAAACTATAGACCAAAACATGCCGGGACAGATGGAGTCCAGAATGCAGCCACGGGTATAAGCAACCCACGGGAAAAAGAAATGGAAAACTACTTCTTCTCCATTCAGAGCCCAGCAGAGACCCAGGCACATGGAGGCAGGTGCAAGCTTGTTATTAATATTCCCTCCTCCCTCTCCTGCCAACCTCCATTGTTTTACCCACCAGGATCCATGGAGCACCCAGCATCGATGCTTCGTTGTGAGTGAAGCTGAAACGACCTCTGATCTCGAGGAGCTCATGGTCTAGTGCCATGGTTGGCAAACCGGCTCGTGAGCCACATGCGGCTCTTTGGCCCCTTGAGTGTGGCTCTTCCACAAAATACCACGGCCTGGGCAAGCCTCTTTTGAAGAAGAGGCGTTAGAAGAAGTTTAAGTTTAAAAAATTTGGCTCTCCAAAGAAATTTCAATTGTTTTACTATTGACATTTGGCTCTGTTGACTAGAGTTTGCCGACCACTGGTCTAGTGGAAAGACAGATGAATCAAAGAATTCCTCAAATGAGCAGGAGAGTGTGAGGGATCAGGGCTAAGAAGGAGATGGAGGCACACAGTGCTGTCAGTGCCTGTAACCAATCAGAGGCTTCCCTAGGTTAGGATGTGATGGTTGCGATTTGAAGGAATGGTGGATATTTACCGGGTGGAAAGGAGGGAACAGCATGTGCGAGGGCCCAGGGGCTGGAGGACTGCTGCTGGAACAGAGAGACTGGGTTAAAATGGTCAACAAAGGCCACGTCAAGAGGGGCCTCGGAGGCAGGTGAAGGATGTTTGTGCAAGAAGAGGCAAATGAAATGTGTAAGCAGAACGGGGCCGTGAGGGTATGATGGGTTTTGTATTTTGGAGTGATCATTCTTGATCGCCTTGGGGAGAATAGACTTGGGAGGTAAGGAGGAGGTCTAGCGGTGGCCATGGCTCTGTGGTGACAGAGCCCCTGCTTGCCACCATTGGGACCTAGTATCTTAGTCCATGAGCTGGCGCGGGCCATGGTGCATTGGTAGCATGTGTCTGTTCCCCTTCAGCTACTGCTGTCACCTGGAAGTTGTGCCAAGACCAAGGCCAGGGGTGCATGGAAAGCACTGCCCTGTCTGCTGTGTGTGCAGGGAGGAAGGGTAGGCTCCACTTGGTGGGGTTTTCGGCCTGCCCTGCCCCTCCCCGAATGAGCCAGAGAGGCTTTCCTCACTGTGTTGACCTAGGAGTGTGGCTGCTGTAACTGCTTGGGAAGGGGAGGGTTATTTATTTTGACAAGGGAAGGCCATGGGTAATGTATGCAGAGAGATAAAAACAGAGCACAGCGGTGCCCTGTTGGTAGACGCTGTGGATTCTGATGGTTAACATGGCATTTGGACCTGCTGTGTACTCAGGTTGGCTCCAAAGACGTGAGCAGGGATTTTGGTGGAATGTTGTGCTCCAAACACTGAAAGAATAAGGGCTTGAGGGTTTGAACTGTCCCAGCCTTGTCCATAATAACTCGCTAAACCAGTTAGTCCTGAGCTCCTGTCCCAGCGGGCTCCTCTCAGCTCCGGAGGGGTGTGTCTGCTTTGAAGGAATCAGAAGTCGAGTCATTTGTTTCAAACCAACCTCAGCCAAAAATGTGGAGAAAATGCAACTTGCCATGGGGTCCCCAGGAATAGTCATTGATTTGGTGACCAAAATTTAGATCACGGAAGAATATCCTCCCAAAACTTCTGAAGCAGAAGTGAGGAGACTTTTCCTACAAAACGTCAGATAGTAAATAGATACGTTAGGCTACGTGGACCAAGGAGAAAATGGAAGATATTATAGAGGTACTTATATAATCGTTTAAAATGCAACTACTTAAAAATGTGAAAAGCACCACTAGCTCCCAGACTATACAAAGAGACACTGGGTCAGATTTGGCTTGAGGACTATGGTTTGCTGACCCCCGTGCTAAAGGCTGGTGAGAGACCCAAATTCTCAGCCAGACGCTTGCTTTCAGTTGTTCCGTTTCCCGGATGAGAACGGAACCTCCCTTAGACCGTGTGACCTTGAACAAGTTACTTAACCTCTCTGAGCCTCAGTTCCCTCATCCGAGCAATGCAGATGATCAGAGCCTTCTTCTGAGGGGTTCTGTGAGGAGAGAAGAAACACGCCTTGGCAGCTGTTAGCTGTGCTCACTATCGTCGTTTCTCCCGGTGTTCCTTTCTCTCTGGGCCTCTGCTGACTGTTGATTTGGTTTGTTCTGTTCTTCCTTTGGCAAGGTTGGAAAGGGGGATGCGGAAGAAAGCCCCCCGTCAGTGGACTGGCACGAGAGGGAAGCAGAGTCCTTTGATCCAGAAAATACAAGAACCAAGAAGGTAAAGTTTGTCGCAGAAGCTGAACGTGTAGCCCTGTCTGCACAGCAGTCACCGGGGACCAAGCGACAGAGTGCCCGTCCCGCCTGGTGACGCCTGCTCTGTGGGACGTGCTCGAGGGCCCACCGTGGTTCCATGAATGAAGCCGCGTCCCAGCTCGCCCTGGAGGGACGGCTCTGCCCGCGTACTCTGTGTACTCCTTACGGGGAGATCTTGACCACATGCCTGGGCTCTGCCGTACTCTCCAGCAAGTTGGCTGCGCTCGTACGAGAAAAACATGTACCCAAAAAAGACTCGGGCTTCAGAGCCAGGTGCCCAAAATAGGCAGGTCCCTTGAGAGAGGCTGGGACAGGAAGGGGGGCTCTGGGCACTCCATCTGGGGCCATGACCTCAACAGGCCCAGACCCTGGGATTAGCAAGACATCTCCTGAGCTCGTAAAGATTGTTTTACACAATTAAAGTGAAAAGAAAACAAACAAACAAACAAACAAAAACCAGTTATAGTGCAGGGGCCACCACCAGCTCAAAGAAATGTCCCTGGCATGAGGCCAGCTTCGTGCCTTCCCGGTCAGAGAGGCGGAGGGATGGGTGTCACTGGCCAGGAAGCTGATCTCCTAAATCTGGCTCTTGGGCCCGTAGGCTGCTGGGAATACTAGGGGACAGCTTCAGGGGAGGGGCTGACTATGAGCTGGGCTGTGGAAGTTTCCCACTTTCAGGGAGAGGTACTTGGGGAAATTTTAGGGCGGGGGGGACTTTCCTGCAGTTACATTTAGTGATGCTTTCTATTCAAGGAAATCGCCCTAGCAAGTTGATCTATTTAGAGTGTACAAAATTAATCATCCATCTGAAAACTGTTTATTGAGCACCTATTATGGACCAGTGGTTGAAATGCGTTGTGTCCCTTTAAACAGTGGTAGATTTAAGCATGAAGGGTTTATTCCAGACCCTGTGCTGTTTTGAGCCTCGTCCTAGGGATGAATCGGTGGTGTGGGACTCGAGTGGTCCCCAGTAAATGTTCCCAGGGAGAGGTAAGAATGCTCAGGATCACTCTGGTTTGAAGGGGCCTGGGGCCGAGGCTCGTGCCCTGTGGCGGAAGACCGAGCTCTCAGCCGCCCTCTGACCTCCACCCTGCGCTTTCATTCAGGATCAAGCCTGGGAGAGCGGAAGCGAAGCGGAGGACGAGAGCTGGTACCCCACGAACATGGAGGAGCTGGTCACGGTGGACGAGGTGGGGGAGGAAGAAGACTTTATCATGGAGCCGGACATCCCAGAGCTGGAAGAGATCGTGCCCATTGACCGGAAGGACAAATTGTGCCCAGAAATGTGTCCCTGTGGGACAGCCGCCTTACACCTGGACTTGACCAAAGATTTCACCAAGGAGGGGGTCAAGGCCATGGGCAACGGGGCCACGGAAATCAGCCCTAGCTCTCCCAGAGAAGGGCCGTCTGCCCCCACGGGCTGTCCCAGTGACATGGACGTGGAAATGCCTGGCCTAAATCTGGAGGCTGAGCAGAAGCCAGCTGAATGTGAGACTGGCCTCTCGCTGGAGGGTTCAGATTGCTACGAGAAGCAGGCAAAGGGAGCAGAGAGCTCAGATGTTCGTCTGTCCCCTGCACTCCGGCAAATGTCTTCCCCCAAGCCAGCCGAAGAGAGGGCCGGGCAGCCGAGCCCATGTCTTGATGACAGCAAGGCCACGGGGACTCCCGAAGATGGGGCTTGTGGAGGCAGTCCCCTGGAAGAGAAAGCCGGCCCCTCCACCGATGCCGACCCCCAAAGCCAGGCTTGCCAAGGAGTGTCGACCCAGGGTAACTACCTCCCTCTTTCCCTGTGTGCATGGGCGGATGGGCCACGGCTCCCCCGGAGAAGGGACATGGGTAAGGTCTCAGCCAGCATGGGGGCGGGTGCAGAAAGTGAGCTGCCAAAAGCCTGGTTAAACCGGTGGAGCTTTTAGGCAAATGGTGCAGAGGAAATCAGACAGCAGGTCACATGTGTTCTGAGAAGCAGACTCAGATAGGGCAGCCTTCTCTGAACTTATGGGAGCCCAGATGGACGCTGACAGCGGAAATTAGCCAAAGTTTTGAATTATCAACCAAAGTTCCCTGGGGACAGCCAGCGGAGCTCTGTCTGCAGGACAGAGGACCACCCAGGCTGCTATTTCTGTGAGGCCCCAGGGAGGGGAACGGGATGGGCGGGGAAGGGGCGGAGAGACAGTGGGAGGCCCAGGAAGGAGCGGGCAGGGGAAGAATGAGGGGCTCACCAAGGGGGGTGCCAGTCCCCCATCCCCCTTCCTCCCGCCTCAGACCCACTTTTCTCCAGGGTCCGATGGTGAAGCAGGACTCGCCTTGGGACCTTCCGCCGGAGGGGATGCTGTGTCTGTGCCTGGCACTATGACATCATGAAAAACAGAGTTTAAAATAGGCTAAGCCCTGTGTCCTCTGCCAAGTGGAAACTCAGATCCATCCCGGGCTGGGGGGCAGAAAGGGGGAGTAGCCGTCCCACGTCCTCCCAGGGAAAAGGAAGGAGAGTCCATGTCCCAGGACGCCTGCAGCCTTGGTGGCGAGGTTGAAGTCGGAGGGACAGGCTGGAGTCAGGGGCAGAGACTTAGGAGAGGCGGCCCAGTCCGCACTCCTACCCGGGGCTGTGCTGGCGCGGCTCTGGGAGCCGGGCTCCGGCTTTCCTCTGTGTCAGGCTGACCTAGCTGTTTCCACCTGCGTGGCTCCGAGTCTCCATGGAAACTCTGTCATGTGCTGCCTCGTTGCTAGAGAAACGCTGGGGCCTGGGCTGATTCCAGAGAAAGGCCAAGAATAAAGGAGTGAAACGTTCACCTTGCTCCACTGGACCCTCCACCTCCCCCCCCCCCCACACACACACACGTACACACAGACACACACACACTTTTTTCTTCTCATGGTATAGGTCTCAGCATGCACTGGCATGCATGGCTCTCTCGCTTACCCAGGGTTTGAGTTCATGTTTAATAACATGAGCGTGGGCTGAGAGAGAGGCCTGGCCTTTCCCAGCTGCCCCGGTGCTCCTGTGGACGTCAGCACCCTGTAATTGCCTTCAGTGGTTCTTCCTCCTGCAAAGATGGGGTGATACGGAGTTGGGGGGAATAGGTGTGTATCATCCCCACCCAAGGCATCAGCAGCCTTCCCCTCCCCCTCCCCCAGGCCCTGTGCAAAGATTGGCTATGTTGTCCTGTGTGGCGTCCTCTTGGCAATGGGAAAAGCTCTTCAGTGATAGCATTTGGGTTCTGTCGAGCAGTCCTGGTCCGACTCCAGCCCCGTGTAATGAAGCGGTCCCAGGGGCCAGCCCTGATCCCGCAGCCGCGCGGCCAAGGGCATTGCAGGGGTTCGAGGAGGCATGCCGTGTGTCACCAGCTCTTGGCTCTGGCTCATGTTTTGCAGAAAACGCCAGGTACCTGGAAGTGAAGTCCCTGGACGTAAGGTGCCCGGAATACACGGAGGTGGAGCTGAAGCAGCCCCTTTCGTTGCCTTCCTGGGACCCGGAGGATGTGTTCAGCGAACTCAGCATTCCTCTAGGTAGGTCCTTCCTGAGAACTCAGCCCCAGGAAGTGGGCGCTCCCTAGGAACACCTAGGAGCTCAGCACGTGGTCCGAGTCTGTTGCAATCACCTACGCTGGCGAGGTGCTACCTTAAAGTCTCTTGCAATGGCAGTCGCCCGTCACAGAGCAGAGACTCTGGGACCAGGCCTTGAACGCACTCCCCCGGAGCCAGAGCTTAGGGGGCTGCCTCCCTACCAGGAAAGGCTTTCTCCCTGAGCGGCAGCCTTACCAGGCAGGGAAGCAGAAGCCCCATGGATGCATCTTCCCGATGGCCCCTGCCCCAGCCCTTCCCAAAACAGGGCTGCCTCTCCTCTCTTTAGGGTGATTAGCTCTCTGGGGCAATGATGCTGAAGGGGCTGTTGGGGGCAGGCTCTATGTCATTGACAGTGGGGGCACTGAGGAGAGAGGGACCTGGGTCCCATCGTTTTCCAGTTATTGGGTGAGTACTTATCCTCAGGCAAATCATACCCAGGAATGGTTTTTGTCTTGGGGTATTTTTCCCCAGTCACTCCAAGTCCTTTAGTAAAAAGCCGATTAATGAGAGAGGGAGAGGAAGAGAGAGAGAGAAAAAGGGAGAGGGAGAGGGAGAGGGAGAGGGAGAGGGAGAGGGAGAGGGAGAGAGACTTTTCTCAGAGAGCTTGGGAGTGGGAGGTACTGTCAGGGTTCACATGGCCAGGGAAGGTAACCCAGCCAGAGGCAGAATAGAGATCAGGTCTCTGTCCAGAGGGGTAGCTGGTGGCGTGAGGGGGGAGGTCTGCAGGGTGGGAGACACTAATGGGGGATGGCTTAGCTCCCAGACAATGGGTTGGGGATTCCTGGGCCTTCGTTTCCTCCTCTGTAATATGGGAAGGGATCAGACTGGTGGTTTTTTAATGGCGGGAGGAAGTGTTGGAGTGGGGCGGGGAGGGAGGTTAGTAATAGAGCCACCTAGGACACATTTTCTAAAAGGAGAGTTAACTAGGGTTTCAGGATAGGGAGTGAAGGTCCTTTAAGAAGGTTCCGTGGGAGCTGCTGACACCACCGCTAAGCCAGTGATGCCCACTTCAGCCAGCGCCACCTTTGAGTCTTTGTGTTGACCCTGAAAGGTCGGAAAGCGGCGAGACAAAGGAGTAGCAGCTGCTCAGAGAGGAGCTTGGGAAGGTGCTCTCAGGAAGTGGGCAGTGTGTGGGCTATGGGATGGCCACTGTCAATGACTATGTATGTGCCTGCTCCATCAGGGAGGTCAGTATGGAGGGTCACCCATTTCGTCATGCTTCTCTTTTGCTTTTCTTTTTTTTTTTTTAAGTTTCTTATTCTTTCTGCTCTCCAAGTGCATCTTTTTCATAAAGTGAAAGTGAGATGGAAAAGGAAATGTCCTTTTTTTTTTTTTTTTTTTTTTTTTTTTTTTTTTTTTAAGGGATAAATTTGCTGCGTAGCCTCCAGCGTGCCTCAGGATAAAAAACTAAAAAGAAGAAACACTGACACACTGACCGACTGCACAGGGGGCCTGGGTGTTGTAATCCTGGGGGACAGTGGCGAAGGCCGCCTTTCAGGAAAAAGGTGCTAGACAGTTCACCCATGCATTCTTCATGCATTCAGTCCGTCAGCAGCACCTACTGTGTGCATGGCTCTGTCCTGGGCACTCTGGGGGTGAGGGAGGGACAGAGAAATGTAGCACAAGTCTCTAGTCATTCAAGAACTTGGAATCTAATTGACACACAGAAGCAAAAGATAACAAAATCTGCTACCTTATATCATATTTTTTATTATTGTTTTTCATTACAAAAAAGTGTGAAAGATTACTGTAACAGATTTTAAAACTAAGAACCACATACATATTGAATGTCATATCTCTTCCCCCAGCCTCTCCCCAACTCCAGAGGTAGCCATATCCTCAAAAAGTTCTCCTCCCATAAAAACAGGATCACACTATATACATAATGTTCAACAATTTGCTTTTTAAATCTAACAGCGAATCTTAGAGGTCTCTTCTTGTAGGTACATAGAAAATTCCTTCTTTTTAACCATTGCAAATACTCCATCTTAAAGGTGCACCGTAACTTATTGAACCACTGTACTGGTGAATACTTAGGATGCTTTAAATCTTTTCCCCCATTATTAAAATAACTTAGCTTTTATCATTTGCCATGCAGGCACCATTCCTGGACTGTTGCATATATCATCTCCTTTAGCTCTCTGAAAACTCCTATGAGGTCGGCAATATTTTATTCCTGTTTCCCAGATCAGAAATCTGAGATGCAGGGTTACAAAGCTGCAAATCGGCCAGGACTGGGGCAGGGATTTCAATCCTGGTGGTTTCACTCTAGGACCAGGCTACCTCCGTGCTCTGCTGCCTCCTAGGCGAGCTGTCCCCTTTGTCCGAGTGCCAGCGTTTCTGAGGGCAGCGTCCTGGCCCTGGGGGTTGTGTGGTCATATGTATTTGCAACTTAGATGATCATAATTGCTGCTAAATTGCACTCCAGAAGGATTACACCAGTTTTAACTGCTACCTTGAGTGAGAGTTCTCATTCTCCACATCCCAGCCAACATTGGATACTACCAGCTTTTATTTTTTTTAATATATTTTTTATTGATTTCAGAGAGGAAGGGAGAGGGAGGGAGGGAGAAAAACATCAATGATGAGAGAGAATCATTGATCAACTGCTTCCTGCACACTCCCCACTGGGGATCGAGCCTGCAACCTGGGCATATGCCCTTGACTGGAATTGAACCTGGGAGCCTTCAGTTCTCAGGCTGTCGCTCTATCCACTGAGCCAAACCAGCTAGGGCTACTATTAACTTTTAATTTTCACCAACCTATTAGGAGGAACGTGGTATCTCATTCTGATTTTTGAAGCACCTCTAGTGAGGTGTAATTGATGTATAAGGACAAACACACATTTAAAGCGTACTGTCTGATCAGTTTTGTCAAATGCATATACCTGTGAGATCATCACCACAATTGGGATAATGAACATATTCATCTCCCCCCAGTTTCCTGATACTCCTTTGTAACCTTCTCTTTTCATACCTCAATCCCAGGTAACCACTGATGCCAGCTTGGTCGCTAACTACTAGTTTGCATTCTAGAATTTTATAGAGAGGGAACATACGGGATGAAGATTTTGGCCTGGCTTCTTTCACTCAGCGTCATTGTTTTGAGATTCATCCGTACTGTTGGGGTGTCCCCAGTTGGCTTCTTTTCATTGTGCAGGAGTATTGCACTGTGGACACCATGTTTGGTTTATTCATTCACCTGTGGATGGGCATGTGGGTCGTTTTGGTTTGGTGCTGTTAAAAATAGTAGTTTCGTACTGTACTAGATTATCACTTTGAAACCCATGATCTCATTGATCTCTGGGGTGGAGTGGGGTGTGTGGTACTATTTTCTGCATTTGACAGGCGAGGAAACTGAGGCCCAGAGACTTCCCTACCACCACTGGGTGAGTTCAGGTCAGAACGAGGGATTTCTAACCTGAGACCATGCTGCCCTCCTTGGCGTTGTTCATCTATAAATCAGGCATCAGGCATAGTCACAGAAGCCTGCCATGCCAGGTTATTTTGAGGATTTAAATGAATACTTGTGAGGTTTTAGTGTCTTCCCTTTGGAGGTCCTTAGGAAGGGTTGCCTGTTGTTATTATTTGTTCCTGAAGGCGTTATGGAGACCTACTATGTTTCCTCTTACTCTGGCTGCATAACACTTCACCTCCAGGGTCGGCCACCGTTGCTGAGGGACTTCTAGAAAGGTGGGGAACAGAGAGGCCTGGGTTCACCATGAGGAGGTGGGCATGGGGGAAGGGTGGGGGGCTCTGGATGACCCCAGGCAGTGCGAGCCTGCCAAGGCCTGCTCTTAACCAGAACCAAAGAGCATTGCCTGCAAAAAGCAATCTTCCCCTCCACCCAGCCCAGGCTTCGCTGGGATGACAGAGTTGTAATTACCCACCAGGAGCTATTATTAGACGGCAAATGCCGCTTTAATTATTGCGCTTAATGAGACTGAAATATGGGAGAACCAAATATGGGAGAACCTGTCCGGGCTGTGGCAGTGCTTCTTGATGCTGCCGCTTCCTTGGCTCTCACATTCCAGAGGTGACCTGAGGCGGGGTGGCCTCCCAGTGCCTGTGGCAGCTCCCAGGTACTTGGGGGAGTTACCAGGTGTCTGGGGATCCTCCCCATCAGACTTCCCAGCACTGTCTCTGCACTGCCTGGCACTTCTGAGCGGCCGCTGGGCGGGGCAGTGAGGAGAGCGGCTGCCAAACCATGGAGTCTGGCTCCCCGGGCAGTGGCAGTGAAGGATGGAGGGCAGGAAAGCGAACATGTGGGAGGCTGGCCTTTGTGGAGAAACATCTAACATGTGCAAACAGATTTTCTGAGCACCAGGAAAAATGAGAGGCGCTTCCCTGTAGCACCATTTGTGGTGTGATTAACCAGGTTTCCCAGACGAGGAAATGCATCTCAGGAAGTTGAGTAGCCTGGTTGGTGTGCTCAGTAGTTTATAGCGTCAAACTCTGAACCAGGAGGTCACGGTTCGATTCCCAGTCAGGGCTCATGCACGATCCCCAGGAGGGGGCGTGCAGGAGGCAGGCTGCCAATGATTCTCATCATTGATGTTTCTCTGTCTCTCCCTCTCCCTACCTCTCTGAAATCGATTAAAAAGTATATTTTAAAAAAAGAAAAGAAAGTTGAACAATGTAATGCACCTGAGATCACTGGGTAAGGAAAAGAGCTAGGTCTGTGTTAACTCTAACTTCCATTTTTCTCCCACCACCCTGTGGTACACCCCCCCCCCCCCACTCCCCGCCCTGCTCCTCATTCTCCACCCCCTCTCCCTCCTCCCACCATGGCCAGCTCTCTGCTCGCCCCCAGGAGGGCAGTGGGAGCTAACCAGCTGGCTGTGGCTGTGGCTGCAGCAAAGCCCAGCTGCAATGTGTCAGCACATGCAAGGAGGGCCCGGGCCTGCGTCCTGCGCTGGGTCCTGCCTCCCAGCCCGCACGCCCTGCTCTCCAGCTGGCACCGTGCAGTCAGGTGCCTGAGAACCCGGGGCGTGGGAGGGGTCAGCTGACTCTCCCAGGCTGGCACACAGGTCCTCAGCGCCCGTCTGTGCCCTCTCAGACCCAGACTCCTTCCACTCTGCTGACAGCGTCCTCGAGAGGGAAACTGCGCCCCTAAAACACCGTGGTGGAGGCAGGGGCAGCCACTGTCCCCTCAGAGATGGATTTCCTGGGCCAAGACACTCGCTTCTCTGGCTGTCGGGCCACTGTTTTCTTTCCTTAGAATCCAAAGGCCTCCCAGATTCTAAAATGACACATGAGGTGCTATGAATTGATGGTTCAGATGTAAAGACTGGAGAAAGGCGGGGCAATGTTTATGGTACACTAGGTCCGTGGTCGGCAAACTGCGGCTCGTGAGCCACATGTGGCTCTTTGGCCCCTTGAGTGTGGCTCTGCCACAAAATACCACGGCCTGGGTGAGCCTGTTTTGAAGAAGTGGCATTAAAAGTTTAAATTTTAAAAATGTGGCTCTCAAAAGAAATTTCAATTGTTGCACTGTTGATATTTGGCTCTGTGGACTAATGAGTTTGCCGACCACTGCAAAAGGAGGAGACACGTTGCTCTTAGGGGGCAATTAAAACTGCCTCCCCGCCTCCTGAAGAAGGCTCCCCTTATAGATAGTGTGGAAGAAAATGTTTTGATTGAGAAGACTCTGGGCGAGGTTTCCTCACTTGCGTTTATTTAAAAAGTTTTCTCTGGTGAACATCATTCTAAAACAAACCAGCGAAAACGAGAGCATTCTTCCAGGGTCCTGGCCACAGCCGCTGCAGAGAGGAGCAGATGACAGAGGAACGACGCCCAACAAGTGAAATGAATGAAACCTCCTCCCTCCTCCTTTCCCCAGAAGCGGGCTGGGACCAGGAGAGCCTGGACCTAGTTCCCAGAGGCCCTTGCAGAGCGGCAGAGCGTATTCTTGCTCAGCATGGCCATGCCTCCTACTCACAGCCACTGTGAGTGAAGTGGGTGTTGCTCTCTTCCTGCCAGATGAGGAGACAGAGTCTTGGAGAAGTTAGGTCACCCGCCAAAGTCAACAACAAATGAGGGGCGGAGCTCTTTGCCCCTCAGGGACACGGGGGCCTCCCATGCCTTCCTAATGGCCTACCCATGTATCCCCCATCCTTCTGCAGGAGTGGAATTCGTGGTACCCAGGACCGGGTTTTACTGCAAGCTGTGTGGGCTGTTCTACACCAGTGAGGAGATGGCGAAGATAAGCCACTGCCGCAGTGCTGTCCACTACAGGAACTTACAGGTAACCAGTGGCCATCCTTGCCTGGCACCGGCGCGCTCTCTAGTCTCTGTTTCCGAGTTCCTCTCTCCCTTCGCCACACAGAGACCTGACTCCACCGGGCCGCTGCACGCCGTGGCTGCCTCTCCTGCGCTCTCAGAGCATCAGCCTTCACGGTGGCACTTGCCACGCTCTGCTGGGCCGGGCACTTTGGTACCTGCCTCTCCCTCTGTCCTGAGTAACGAGCTCGTGTTCACCTGGCCCATGGTTGGGCCGACCCCTTTCACGAGGCCTGGGTGTGGCTGATGCGGAGGTTTCTCCGTGTTTCTGTTCTCCTGTGTGGTGCCCCTCATTGCTGGACTAAAAGCCACTACTGCCCACTATTTTAAATGTTCCGATGTTGCAACTATTTGTCACAGCAACAAAAAAACAACAACAAAAGAATGCAGACAGAAACCCTGCCCTCATGGATTTTCCAATCTAGTGTAGGAAATAAGCAATAAGTAAAATAAGTTTTATAGTACATGAACAGGAGATGTATAAAAAAATACTCCATAGTTCATCCAATCTAAGGTGCCATCGGTTGTAAGACACACTGTTTTTTGATACCAAGAAAAAAATGTTGAAAATTAAACAGGGAGACTCCATCCTCTGTAAAATGCCCCTCAGTTTCAGAGATGTTAATGTTGGGGGGAAAGCATCTTAAAAATCAGTGAAATGTTGCTCTGTAATATACACCTAACTAACAGGTAGCATATTAGAAAGAGGTTTTCATAATTAACTTCTGGCATAGGCTGTGCTTAGTAACCTAATTGAAAGCGGGGCATATCAGAAAGCATGGGCTGTCTTCTGTTTTTACTATTAATACATCCTTTGCTTACAGGAATCAGACTGATTCTTGATATGCAAGGTCTACACTCAGGAAGACCCTCAGGGTGGCAGCGGGCCCTAATTCCAGAGAAGGCGTTGCTGTCTCAGTTAAATTGTTAGAGTGGCCGTGATGGGAACTGAATCACCTGGCCACAATTTCGGAAGTATACACATTAGCTCAGCTATTCCGTGGAATTGGGGTTATACCTGGGAATAGGTAATTTGAGAAAGTTCACCCCTAGTGAAGAAACTCAGAGGTGGGCCAGTTCTCTTGTGTTATATTTGAGGCCCAGAGAAGCTATGGCATGTGTCTGACACCACACAGATGTGTGACATCACCACACAGAGGGTGAGTTACCAGGCCTGGAAACAGATCATCTGATTCTTAATCACTTTCCTCTTTTTACTCTATGAACCTGGTCCTGCAAACTGAGACCCGTAATGGCCTGGGCCACCATCTGCAAGGGACTGTCATTGGCTGTGCCCAAACTCGGGTCATTTAAGCCTCCTGATTTCCCTCCAGAGAGCAGCTGTCCTGTGGCCAAGGAAGCCATGGGGTGTGAGGCCCAGGTTACGGCCCCTCCTGGGGGAGGGCAGTGAGGGCCTGAGTTGGCCAGACTAAGAGCTCACACTGGGTTCACAGTTCACACAGAGTCACCGAGGGCAACCATCCACCCTGAAGACATCACCATTCCCCACCCCAACAAGATGAAATATGTAGAATGACATTGATGGGTGGGGTCTTGAAGATTTTTCCAAACCTGGGTCCTTATACTAGCTGGCATCTTCTATAAATGCAGCTTCCTGTACCCACTGTAAACCTGCTTATTCATTCTCTCTAGAGCTGGGCATGAGAATCTGAATTTTAAAAATCTTTCCAATGGATTCTGATACCTCAGTGGAAGAACTTTTGATATTATGAGCTAGACCCCACAGCTCAAGGTCACCCAGGAACTTAGAAAGAGTGCCAGGGCCTCTACTTCTAAATCCCGTTTCTCCAGGGTAGTGGACTACACTGCATTCTGGGCCTTAGGGCCACACACCCCCTTCCCTCCCAGGCAGACTTGCCTCCCACTGCAGGGCAGAGCCATGCCTGTGGTCCCTAAGCATGTCCAGCCCAGACAGTGGCTAAGCCCCTCACACCTGCCAACCACAGTTCAGGTTTCCCTGTGCACCTGTCAGGGAGCTGGGAGCCTCCACCACAGGCTTCCCAGATAGGGTTTCTGTCCGTGACCTTGACAGACTGTCTCTGTCCACATAGTCTGCCCACCCCACCCTGCCCCAAGTGATAGGTGTGAAGAACTCAGACCCACGGAGCAGGTGCTGGCTGCCACCCAAGTCAGGCAGCTTGTAAGCTTAGCTCCCCCATGCCCCCACTTCCTGGAAGCCTTGGTGGGGATCGGGTATTCCTCTTCGAGGCGGGGAGCAGATGGAAGGAGTTCTGTCAGGGCAACCCCTGCCCTGCCTCCCTGCTGGTCCCGGCCCTGAGAGAAGCCCCTCGGGGAGATCCAGAACAACAGGTGGAGGCAGGACCAGATGGGAAAACGCGATACCTGCTTGGCTCCAGGCCAGTGAGGAGCATGCCCGTACCCCGCACACTCACCCACTTGCCTCTCTGTGCTCCCCTCCCTCTTCCCAGGCTGAGGCAGAGAGCATCCGGCTGCCATCTAAGCCTGGCCTGCAGGGAGGCACGGCCTGCCCCTCTCCCATCTGGCTCACCACCTCTCAAAGCCACCCATGGAGAGGCCAGGCCGACCCAGGCATCCTGTGCCCGTCACCTCTCTGCCCCTCAGCCACCCTGGGAGGAGGAAGACACGTTTCCCCCCAAGTAGCAGATTGGGGTCTGAGGCTGGGCGAAGATGGGCGACTCCCTTGAGCCAGATGATGGTGCCACTCGTGCTAAAGAGCAGCCTCTCTGAGTGTTTACCCGGTGCCAGCGCTGTGCTAAGTGCTTTATGGTCCCTCTCCTGCACTTCCCAGCAACCTTATGTGGCCGTTCCGTTATGACCCACACTTTTTATTTATTTATTATTAGTAGCCATTTATTGATCAACAATTTGATATTGTTATTTCAGATCTTCAGAATTTGCCCAGATGGAATCACAAGCATTACAAATGTTTCCTTTTCCCTTAAAGATAAGGATAGGAGCAGGTGGAAGGAGTTCTGTCAGTGTAACTCATGTCAGTGCAGTTAGTGACATTTGAGAATAAATTAACAAAAAAAAATTTAGTCTTATCATTTATTGGAGACAAACACTAAGTTTTACTTACATTTCATGGGGGGGGGGGGGAATTCCAGTGTAAACAATAAGTCAAAGCAGTCCTTCACTTGCAATTTTAGAGATAAACATAGATATGTCATGCTCTCCAGCCCTACGTGGCGATGTAGTCTACAGTATAAAGCACTCAGAAAACCGATCTGCAGTTTTATATGTGCTACACGGAGATCATATCCTGTAATGTATGTAGAGAAGGCTGTGTGTCCTCAAGGGCCTTATGTATATACATACAATTTTAATAACCTTTAAAACAAAGATCAAAGTTCATTGAAGTCCTGTTGCATTAAAAGTGAAATAGCAAAGGAGCCAAATGATCGCTTGAAGTTTAAAATCCCTACATTGTCCAATTCATACGACCCACACTTGACCGAGGTCAGAGATGTTGCATGACTTGGCCTGCTGAGATGTAGGATCTGACTCAGGTCACCTGACAGCGGAGCCCACACACTTGACCATGTGCTGGGCCTACCCCTGCCAGCTCCCAATCCGGGGCTATTTGTAGCACCCCTGGCTGCCCTGCACACAGAGGGCCCAGCTGGGGCCCCGACGTTTTCTATGCTGTCTCCCTGTGATGGATCCAGAGCCTGGGAGCGGCCCAGCGTGTGGCTGGGGGCCAGTCCCAGCAGTGAGAGTCCCGGGTTGTGAGGCAGCCCAACTGCAGGACAGGAGTCTGTGGAAGGACCTCCAGGCCACTCCACCTGCCCGCCTGCCCAGCAGGAAACAGGCTGTTAGGCCTCTCAAATGTCAGACGTTGGTGTTGTCTGTCCCCATTCTTAGGGGACAGTGTTTCTCTCCCCGGCCTTTCCAGCTTCCCCCTCCTCCCTCTTCCTCCACACGTGGTGGATGTGCTGCCCGGATGCTGGGCTGCTGGAAAACAAGGAGAGGTGTCCTGAGGACTAACTGAGAATAGATTAGAGAAGCAGTGAGAACAGAGCTTGCACGGGATAAAGGCTGTGGAAGTGTCTGCTACTGTTAGGAGCTGGCCTTTCTAGGTTTGCTACAGGAGACACACGTCCCTTATGCCCTGACATAAAGGGGGAGAAAGCAGATGGCTTAGCCTGGGTGCCGTGGCCCCAGCAGGATCTGGGGAGGCCGGGGAGGAGGCCGGGGAGGGGTCCCACCCACTAGTTGGGGTAACAGGAGAGAGAGGCCAAGCTCACACCGCCCACTCCTCTCCTCTCTGTCCTGCTAAGTCACCACTGACCCTCTTCCTTCCTCCTGTGTCCCTCTCTTCCCGCCACAGAAGTACCTGTCCCAGCTGGCCGAGGAGGGCCTGAAGGAGCCGGAGGGGGCCGGCAGCCCGCGGCCTGAGGACAGCGGCATCGTGCCCCAGTTTGAAAAGAAAAAGCTCTGACGCTTGGGCCTCTTGGAAGCCGGGAGGGAGGGCGCCCACCCAGGTGGGACCTTCCTGCCCGCCAGGATGGGAACTCACGCCAGAGAGGAAAGGACAGCAGGCTGGCCACGGGGCCCGGTTCGTTCTCAGAGACTCAGGAAAATGCGCTGAAGTGTTTCCCAGAGGCCTCACCCTGTGCGTCCAGCACTCCCCCCGCCCCCCACCCCCGTACCCTGGGGTCCCCCACTCTCTCCCTGTCACTCTCCTTGCCTTCAGACAGTCTTTTCATTTGCTTCTCTCTCTTCTTTCCTCCCTCTCCCTCCCTCCTTCCCTCCCTCCTTCGTGCCAATGGTTGTTTTCTTTTCATAAAAGCCAACTTCTCAGGGATTTTCAGTGTTCAACTTCTTGGTGGGCCAGGCCAGGCCAGGCCGAGTCATCCAAGGAAAAGATTTCACGGAAACTCCTGGGTCAAGAACCGCTTCGGTGAACCTGGGCAGTGTCTCTGGCTTGGCACGCCGCGCGGGCATCTGGGTGGGGTCCCCCGTCCCAAGAGAGGGGCCCCTTCCACAGTCTGTTGGCAGAAGCTGGGAGCTCCTCCAGCTGGACCACCTGTTGGAAAAGGCCCTGGTTTTATGAATAACGCCTTCACCCTCTCAGTTATTCTAGACGTCTGCCAGGCTCATGCCTTAAAGGAAAACGAAGTGAATTTTACAGGGGGAGGAAATGAGCCCTTCGTATTGGGAGCTCCGATCATGTCCCCGAAGCAGGGTCCCCTCCACTTGATTTCAGGAGGGGCCAGGGTTCGTTCTGTCCCGGACAGAGAGTTGGGTGTAGATTCGCACCCATTAAAGATGAAAATGGAAGCATCCTCCCCATGCCGCCGAAACAGCAGTTGGTAAAAGCTTAGGCTGGATGCCGGCCTCTCTGCCATGGGTGTCACCAAAACTAGGAAATGGCATCTGTCCTTGGCTCACCCTTGGTGCCTGCACTCTGGGCTTCCCCTGTGGAGTGGTTTTAGATGGTGTCTCACGGGTAGGGGGTGGAGGGCAGAGAAGCGAGGGAAAGGAGGCTGCAGAACTGAAGAGCATTTGAGGGTTGCCGGTGTTTGTAGGTAGGCCCTTTCCGATTTGGCAGAAGGTCAAGGGCCTCTCAGAGTTGACCCCAGGGGCACACTTTGATATCAGATGCTGTGAAGAACAGAGCCCTTGCCCCCAGCAGGTTGTCTGACTCTGGAGGGCAGCGCCTTAGGCCCCAGGTGGACTGCAGGTCTCTAGTGGAAAGTCCCATTGGAAGGCTTTGGGATAACGGCCTTGGGGGAAATGAGGCTCGGCTGCCCTAGAGAAGCCAGGAGAAGTTCAGAGAGCCTCGTGCTACTCCCACAATGGAGATACTCACCTGGAGGCGGCCTCTCCGGCTCTGTCCCTGGAGACAGTCCCAGTGGTTTCTGTTCCTGACCGACTAGGAAGAGGTTGATTCTGGGTGGGATTTTTGTTGTTGTTTTTGCATTTTTCTTTTTAAGGTAGATAACACTATACCGCATATTCTGTCCTCCACTAATGGCAGAAGGGTAGAGAGATTGTCTGCGTTCGACCCTGACTTTTTATCAGTAAGGAAACTGAGGCACAGACAGGAAAGAAACATAGAACACAAATAAAACGATCACATGTGAACCCTGGGGCCAACGGCCACCGACAGGGAGAGACCTGTGGAGAACCTGGAAACAGATGGGCCGGGACAGGTGTGGTGAGAAGAGGCTGCGGGAAGCAGGAAAGCTGATCTTGGCACCTGGCCACTGGGGGCCTCAGAAAGCTCGGGGTTTGGGAGCAGGGTTGGAAGATGATGACTCAGCCCAGAACTGGTCCCCTGGCTGCCTCCACATGCTTTTTTCTCACCTGGCATTCTGGAAGCCAGCCTCCTCCATTTCTCAGAAAACACTGGGCCCAGTGTGTCTGTCTGCCCACTGGAGGGACATCCAGGGCCAGCTCTCCCGCCTCCCGGCCAAACCTTGCTGGGAAAAGCCTCAGCCTCATGAGAGGCTAGGACTGTGCATTTTCAAAGACGCTGGCAGTCTTCTTCCAGCAAAGGGGAAGCTGACCCCACCAGCTCATCCCTCCGCCCTAGCAGCGTTTCCATGGAAACCTGGATAGCTGTTCAAACAGCCTTGTTCCTGAGTAAAGTAATGGCTCCCTTGCTGACAGACTGACCTTCTCCATATGGCAAAGCTGGAGAGAGCCTGTGGGAAGGAGGGAGGAGGTGCGCTCTGCACTCAATCAGAACCTTCAGTTACCAAATCATCTAAGAATCTTTGTGTGTGTATATGTATAGATATATAGATATTTATTTTTATTTAAAAATTTTTATACTATTTCATTGGCATTGTCCTTCACCACTCTCTAATTTTCTCTTTTTATTCCTACGTGTGTCATACACACCACAGTATTAAAGGCAACCAGGAATATATTGATTTATTTTTTAAAGCTTTTAATCAGTGTTTGTCAACCATTTCAAAGATTGTTCAAGAGCAGCTGCTACCTTGAGCAACAATCATCTGTTCCCTGGGTTGATGTCACCAAAGGCCTGAGTAATTTTTTTCATGGTAAACACCTGAGATAAAGTACATCCAGACAGTATTCCCAAAGAATTGGTAAATTGGATGTCGGTGGGAGTGTCAGGGTTTCCCTCCCTTGGGATGTCCGAGGCTGTGTTAGATTCTACTTGAACTGGACCAGCGTTTATTTTTTGAGCTTATGAGAAAAAGAAGAAACACTAGTCAACTGAAGTTTGAACTTGTAAAGTTTTGAAGTTTGTTGAGTGTCCCATAAATTGTCGGCATTTTTCCTGATCTGTATAACTGACCGCAAGTGCTTGTTTTTATGAAAGAAAAGAAAGAAAAAAAAAAAGATTTTTTAATAAAGAGAATTTGAAAGCTTGGGAGTAGCTGTCCGTCATGCAGGGATCCCTTGACTGTTAGCTGGGGAACATTGACACAGAGGCCGGGGCCTGGCCCCTCTCTGATCTGGAATGTTCCTAAAGGCCTGAAAAAGAGGAGACACAGAGCTTCCACCTGGGACTTTGGGGGGACTCGGAGATTCTCAGGGGAGAACCTCGGAAAGGACTGAGTCTGGGAAAGTGAGAAGCTGGGGTCCCTTTTGGAGGATCAGGTAGAAAAATCTCTTGGTCTCTTATAAACCCCTATCCTGCTACCTACTGCTCCCCAGTCTTCTGGTTGAAGTTGCACTGCACCAGACTCGGGCCATTTCTGGCAATGTCATCCCCTGTGGGGGTGGGGCCTCACCCGGCACTTGTTAGCCTGTGACTTCCTAAGTCCCACTTTCTTGGTGGGAAGGGATAATGGTAGTAATCCCCTCCCGGTTCCTTCAGGGTTAAGTTAATCACCACTGCTGCACAGCACGAAATCTAGTTTGCTTTTGCAATCTGTGCCCTGAACTACATCTCAGTGGTTCTTGAAGTTCTTTCTCCACCCAATGCTGGTCTCCGGACCTCAGTGGGCCAGCCCTTTGAATAGCCTGAGACCTGCGAGCCCTCCCCTCCTCTTGGCCCTGACCCTGAGTTCCTGGGGAAGGGACTGGGCAGTCTGGCCCCAGAAGACAAAGTGAGCAGGGCCGCTGTAGTTGGTGGGAGCAGACTTAGATCTGAGGAAAGTGCCGGTTCAGCGGGCCCCACTCCCAGCCTAGGTTACCTTCCTTGGGTGGAGCTGGCCTCCAGTTCCCAGCCAGGAGGGTGGAGAAACCTTTCTGCAACTGCCGGCTGCTCCCCAAATGCTGAATGGGTGTCCTATTCCCCTACATTCAGGAGCCAGGATGCCTGGGGGTGCCCCTGGTGCCTCGTCTCAGCGTGTCGCTCCACATGGCACAGCTCTGGGAGGTACATGCACATGGTATTCTGTAAGATAGCTCTCCCAAAGCTGTGCAATGGCAATATTCTGCTATAGAGCCCGCAAGTTGCACCTTGTCCCATGCCTGGTGTTCCCATTTGCTCACCAAAGTTCCTGGGGCCCTAGAATCTGGTTCTGATCCAGTCATCTGGGCTTGACATTCAGAGCCACTCTCTGTACTCGCTTCTCTCACCAGGAATCAGCACCGGACTGCCCCTCCCTGCCTGCCGCGACCTAGGCACTGGTGTTTGCTCCTTACAGTTTCCCAGGATCCCAGGCCACTTGGGTACTGAGCTTGGCTCCTGTCTGGCCTAAGACCTCTGTGCCCCTCTGAGCATCTATTGGCCATCTACCTAGGCAGTGATGGGACATCTGGGCTCTTCCCCCACCCCAGTCTCCTTTCCCACCATGGTGACCCTAACAAAGGAACCTGTCCCAAGTGGATTTCCAAGCATGTCAAAGTTGGATGGCCCCAGAGACCCCCAAGTCCTGGCCCTTCCATTTGCAGGTGAGAAGACTGAGGCCCAGAGAGGGAAAGTGACTTGCCCAAAGCAACACAGCTTATTAGTGTAAGATCAAGACTAGAATCCAGAGCTCCTGGGCACTCCTGCTGGAGACATGGGATTTAAGTTCTTTCCGTTGCATTGTTTCATGAGTTTTCCAAGTCTCGTCCTCGCTGGACTTCGGCACTCAGAGAGGACTCAAGAGAAAATAGTCTGTTTTTGTGCTTTATGAGAATCAGAATCACCTGGGGAGCTTGTTAGAGGGATTGCTGGAGCCCTCCACGGAGTTTCTGCCCTACCAGGCCCCGGGGAAGGCATTTACATTCTAGGAAACTTCATGCAGGTGGAGTTTGCTGCTCACCCTTTGAAAAACACCACCCTAGAGGGGCGACTTTCCAACAGCCCCTGGAATATTTGTTTTACCGGAGGAAGGGCAGAGAGATGTGAATGGAGACCATTCAAGGTAGGAGACACGCCAGCATGGAAAAGTCTAAAGACGGGAGACAGAGAGGAGGCGTCTAAGCCCGGCAGAAGGAGCTGGTGGGAGCTGATGGTGGTAGGGGGTGGTCATCAGACTGGGTCGGGGCACATGTCAGAATTTTTTAGTTGGCTTCCTACTTACAGTGCTTGGGCAAAGTCAGTTTTCCAATGGTCTCTTTATCCCGGTTCATGGCTGAAAGCACTGTGTTCATTAAGACTCCGTGAGATCTGCTGAGGGCCCTGACCCTCGGGCAGAGGGCTGGGCACAGTCAGCAGGCCTTTGGGGAGACTGGAGTGCCCAGGAACAGGAGCTTCCCCTAGGGCCATGTCACTGCCAGCAAGGAGCCCTGGAGGTCACACACTTTGTCCCCCGCCCTCCATGAGCCAGCTCTAATGCCAGTATCAGCCCTGCAGACTCCTGAGTGTGGACGCCACACTCGGTGTGTACACTGTGGGACATTGTCCCTTGGTCTCCACAATGTGACAGATAGGTATTGTTTTTTGTTTGTTTGTTTGTTTTTAATATATGTTATTGATTTTTACAGAGAGGAAGGGAGAGGGATAGAGAGTTAGAAACATTGATAAGAGAGGAACATTGATCAGCTGCCTCCTGCACACTCCCCCCTGGGTATGTGCCCACAACCAAGGTATATGCCCTTGACTGGAATCAAACCCGGGATCTTTCAGTCCGCAGGCCAACGTTCTATCCACTGAAACAAACCGGTTTTGGCAACAGGTATTGTTATTCTCTCACTTCATAGAGGGTGAAAGGAGGCTCAGAGACCCAGAGTGGCTTGCCCAGGGTCCGACAGCCAGTAAGCGGCAGAGTAAGGATTCAAACCCAGGTTTGCATGACTGCTTTAACCACTGTTCTCCACTGCCCGTCTTGTGCCTGCTTCTCCCTGAAGCCTCCAGACCCTGTGTCCCCCAGGAACAGTTGTCTTGGGAGACTGGGGTGCTTGTGAGTGACCTGAATTGTTAAGTTCCTGAAATGGATCTCCTTAACCCCTCCCCCCCTCACAAAGTAGTTAAAGAATGTCCCCCATCCAGCACACTGCGGGGAACACAGGCAGGAGGGCCTAAGCACCAGCAAAGCGGTTTCCTCCTCCTCCTCTTCCTCCTCTTCCTCCTCATGGAAGAGAGTTTGCCCAGGGAACTGAGTCTGGGAGATGAGAGAGGGAGGGACTCTGGGGTGGGGGCTCCACCTCCTCCTGCATCAGAGAGGGAAGGAAAGCACGTGTCCTCTGTTCTCGGATAATTCGGGGTATAAGGGTGTGACCAAAAGGGGATTCCCGGGGCCGCAGAATGCGAGCCGGACTTTGCACTTGAGCCACTTCTTCCTGATGAAATTTCATTGCTTATTTACCTGCCACCACCTCCCAACAAGGAGTTGAGATGATGTACAGCGCAGCCATGTGTGACCAGAGTAAGCCAACTGAAAAACTCTGAGTGAGGACTGAGGAGAGGTTAAGAGTGGCAGGTGTGGAATTGTGGTGAAGGAGCATGAGATGTGACTAGGAGCCTCCTGGGAGGCAGAGCAAAACGGGGACACGTGCTCCCTTACTGGGCTCTCCATGGGAGAACAGCACAAGCCTTCCCGTTCGCCTGGGGAAACTGATCTACTGGACTCTGTATTCTAGAAGGATTCTCTGCGGTGTGGGCAGAGGTCCCGGGAGGCTTGGAAAAAATCCTTAGGTATCTGGCAGGCCAACGCTGGAGAAGAGCACAGTGGGCGCCCCTCTGGGGGAGACATTAGGCTGGTTCCTGGTCTGTGCAATGTGGTTCCTTATGTCAGGT